ACTTGAAATTTTGCAAGATCTGTTAGTCGCGTTGTTTTAGAACTATTTATGAATTCTAAATCCAAAGTGAAATATCGTAAAATGAAACAAAATATTATTGAGATGCAAAATTTTGCAAACATTCTACATTTGCTATAAAAACTCAGTTCCTCTGTGACGTGTTGAGATTATACGCGTGATTTGGAGCCTAAATCGTTGTACAATTGTTTATATAGAACGAATTTATATTATATAGAACGATGCGAAAAAATGTTAAGTGTGCTTGTAAGTGTGTTGTATGATGATTTTTGGCATTTACAATATTCGTTTGCGGTTCACGCTGAATAAGTCTTGTCTTACACATTCGCACGCATTGTATTTAAATCACCAAAGAAATACACTGGTATGTATTTCTTCTCCAAACGGCACTTCTAAAAAAAAAATATGCAACGATAAACTGGTCTATATTATATCAGAAATTTTAGAACTAAGTTTCAAGAGTTATTGGTATTATTTTTATGCCATCGCTTTCCTTCTTTTTAGACTATAAATAAAATAAATACAAAAATTATTTATCATTGAATTTTATAATAATTTAAAGTTTATTAATTCCAGTAATAAATTTCATTAACTAAAAATTATTTCATTTACTAAAAATTAAATAAATTAAACGAGTTCTCGGAAATAAAAGAATGAAAAAATAATAAAAATAAGCGGAAAAATCGAATGAAAGCGATGTCTGATTTGAAATGTGAAAAACTTAAGAATCATATAACTTGAGAAGAGAATCACGAAATAAGAGAAATAAATAAAAGAAAAGCATTTTAAATAAGACATGTTGGGGAGTTTTCGCGAAAATAGAGCCAATGGAGAAGAAACTAATCGGGCGGAAAGCAACGCTGCTTCATTCATCCCCGTAAAAGCATACTTGCGATTATGAGGTCCTAAAAAAGAGTGAAAGACAGGGAAAAAACGAAACGAAAAGTACGTCAAGAGAAAGCCATATTGAAAGACCTAGGTTGTTACAATCATTTAAAAAACTTTCTTGCAAGAATGCATACAAGAAGTAGCGTACACTTGCTGTACACTCGTTGCTACGGATAAATATGCAAATTAAAAAAAAAAAAGTCGATTTGATTTGTATATGTACACGGTGAGCCCGAGGTTCGTGCGAGAATAGGTGTATTTATGTGAAATAATGAGAAATGAGAAAGAGATCTTTCGAAATCGATACTCGTTTCTTTCTGGTTCATTGTTAGTAATCAATCAATGAACGAATCGCTTTATTCTCATAAACGCTAATGTCCTCAATGGCGATCATTGTTATTATACGAACGAACTCAAGAAGGCATGGTATACAAGACTAAAAACAAGACCTAAAATGGGGACATAATATTTTATAACTCAACTTTTGTACAGAATAAATAAATACTTGTACTGTGGACCAATATTTCTTTTATTTCATTCGCATATCTATGATTCGATTTCACAGTGAACGAGATATTCAAAGATAGCATATTAGGAATAGATATAAAAAATTATGAAATAGTAAATAATGCATTTTTTAATATATGTACAATAAAATTTGTTCAGACTAAATATATAAAAAAATTATATGATTTATATTTGCTTAAAAATTTAAATTCAATTTACAACTCCAAAAAATCTTTTTTTACATATTATAAACTATTTATTTTTTGTTTGAATTAATGGTATTATAACAATGACATTTTTTGCTTCTGGTATACGCCACCATCTTCCAAGCCTATGTTCTTGACCAATTCCAGCAATAAGTTGAGTTCCGTCTGGAGTGAAACACAATGCATTTACAAACCCTGTTAATTCAATCTCAAACAATGGATTCAGTGATCTAAAGGAATCACTGCATTGCCATAATCTAATAACACCATTTTGTGATCCTACATTCAATAATTATAATAAAAAAATATATATAATTTATATATGAATAATACTTAAAAAATACTTTATATACTTAAAAAAATATGTCATACCTGATGCAACTAAATCTGTATTAAGAAGAGTAGCTATACTTGAAATCCACATTGGTTGATTATTACTTTTATCTCTTCCATGTGCATCTAACACTGAACACAAAGGCTTTTTCTTTAAACAACCCCAAACACATAATTGTCCATCGGCTCCACAACTTAAAAAATGTTCTTCATTTATAAGTTTTACAGTATCTATACTACTGCCATGCCCATTGAATATAAGTTGCGACTCTTCAACAATTTTCCAAATTCGAATTGTGCCATCGAAACCACCACTGGTAATAGCTCGTTCTCGTGTAAGTGCATCGATCGATGTAATACCATTTTGATGTCCAAATCTAACAAAATGATGCATTTTTAAAATAAAATTAAGTTAAATCAAAAAAGATAAAAATATACTTACAAAGATTCAACATATGCCATATCATCTAAATTCCATACTTTTACGCTTCTATCCTCGGAACCAGAATACAACGTATGCGTCTCTTTACGAAAAACTAAACAAGTAATATTACCTCTATGACCTTGTAAATTTTTTATGTGATTCAATGTATTTCCACAAAATACCATAATATTTTTAGAACCATTATCTCCTACTACCTTTAATGATAAAAATAAATATTTATATTTATTTATGAATATATAAATGAAATATTATAAATATAAGTTTATATATTCTTACCAAAAATTTACTATCAGTACTAATTGCTAAACATTGAACACATTTTATTCCATCCTGTGATTTTCTTTTTCCTTTTATAGCTTTTAATTTTGTTCTCTCTTTCAAAGACCCTAATATATAATATTCATTTATTATTATTATATAATTATATAATACAAATTGTTATTATTATAATTTTTTAATCAAAAATATCATACATTTGACTAAACTACCATCTTTTGAACCAGAATATAAGAATCTTCCATTACTAGAGAGACATAAACATGTAATTGAACTTTTATGTTCTTTACATTTTAAAACAATAGGTTCACCATGATTAATATAATTTGAAGCTACAGTTTTCCTTAATCTTCCCTTTTCTTCTAAATATTCTTCATGTAATCTTTTTGTTATTGCTCCTTCTTCAAATTCTGCTCTATCTTTTTCTATATTTATATAAATTTAATATTAAAATATGAATAATATAATATGCAAAAATATATTTTAAATATGCAAAAATATGAATAATAATGTAATGCAAAAATATATTTTATTCAAATTTTACCTTCTTCTTCAATTTGTGCAAGATATTGCTTTGCAAGTCTTATACGTTTTTCCTGAGCTGTTTCCTCTTCTTCTTCACTTTCATATTCTTCATTTCTACTAAATAATAATAATAATAATTAAAAAAAACTTAAAAAATTTGATAATAAAAAATTGATATAAATATACTTTTGATTTTCTTCTGCAATTTCTTCATCTGTACTCGCAATACTTTCATTATCATCAGGTACAGATTTATTTATATTTTTCTTTTTTCCTTTTTTTTTAATATGTTGATTAAACTAAAATGTAATAATATTAAATTAAAATATCATAAAAATAAAATAAATTTTTTGTACAATATTTATTATGTTTTATAATAGAATAATCTCATAAAAAATTACTAAAAATCATATAATATATATATATATTATATCAATATATATATATAATTTATATATAATTTACCTTCCTTTTAATTCCTCCGCTATTTTGTTTATTTCTAATAAAAAATGACATTTTTAAAAATATTTTTAAGTGAATTTTAACCTATTTTATTTTAACCACATGGCATATTTTTCATATAAAGTACTGCCAATAGTTATAATCAGAATAGCACTATAATATAAAGTTATAAAATATCTAGTAAATTTTTCAAATAATATAACATTGGTAAACCTGCATGATCACAAAATATATAGTCATATTATAATAGTCATGTTATAATATGCAGATAATCACAAATATTTTTTATAATTAAAATTATTTTATTTCTTATTATAACTTAATTTTTGTATAAAGTAAAAAAGTCATGACTGAAAAAAAAAGAGTACTTATGATTTGTTTAGGTATGTTAAAATATTATTTGAATAGATAAATATAAAAAATTTTATAATAGTAATATGATTTTTATTTATAGGAAATCTTTGTCGTTCTCCTATAGCAGAAGCAGTTTTTAATGATCAAATAAATAAGTTAGGCTTAAGTGATTCATGGGAAGTAGATAGTGCAGCTATTATAGGATATCATATAGGTAAAAACCCAGATCATAGATCTATGTCTATAATAAAAGAAAAAGGTATCACCAATTATTCTCACAGAGCACGGCAAGTAAGTAAATATATTATATATATATATGTTTATATTAATATATTTTATTATTATTATTTATATTAATTTATTTTATTATTATAGATCACAAGAGATGACTTTATTAAATTTGATTGGATACTTGCAATGGACAATAGTAATATTCAATATTTAAATACTATGAAACCTCCTAATACTACTGCTAAAATTGAACTTTTAGGAAAATATGATCCTCGAGGAGAACTTACAATTCGAGATCCTTATTATGTATATTATTTTAATATGTTAATTTAAAATTATAACATATAAATAAATAATAATATCTATTGCATGAAGGTTTTATTGATAAATATTTTATTGTAGGATGTTGACATTGCTGGATTTTATAAGGTATATGAACAATGTTTGCGAAGTTCAAAAGCATTTTTGGAAAAACATAAAAGTACTATTAATTTTATTAAATTTTTTATAATTCATAATTTTTTTTTTTTAAATATAATAACAATATTTTTCATTTTTAGATAAATAATCAGATTGAAGTTTTAAAATAATTTAAATGATATTATTGAAATATCATATATACATATATTATTTAAAAATTCTTAAAAATAATAAATATTCATTACAAAATTAAAATATTAATTTGTTATTATTTATCATTTTCTAAAACATTTTTTTTATTATTTTTTATATCTAAATCAAATTTTTTTTTATTATGTTAATTTTGTGCATATATTTATGTAATTATTTATACACAAAAATTATTTATAATCAAATATATAAATTTTGTTTCATCTTATTAAAATTTCTTACATAACCTTAAATATTTTTCCAAGTAAAAGTTAAGCATGACATCAAAAAAAAAAGTATTAATGGTCTGTTTAGGTATATTTTTAGATTAAGAAGTATTATTTTTTTTACAGTAATATAATAATTTAATATATTTCATCAATATTAAATTTTTTAGGAAATAGTTGTCGTTCTCCTATAGCAGAAGCAATATTTTATGATGAAATAAAAAAATTAAATCTTCTTAATTTTTGGGAAGTAGATAGTGCTGCACTTTTGAAATATCATGTAGGTAACAATCCAGAACCCAGAGCTATGTCTACACTTAAGAAAAGAGGCATTGTATATTATACTCACACAGCAAGACAGGTATTAATTAATTTTTTATTTAAAAAATAAGATAATAAATGTTATCATATTTCCAGATAACAAAGGAAGATTTCTACAAATTTAACTGGATATTTGGAATGGATAATAGAATAGTTTATGATCTATTTCAAATGCAACCAGAAGATAGTCAAGCAAAAATTGAACTCCTTGGAAAATATGATCCAAATGGAGAGTTAAATATACAAGATCCATTATTTGTAAGTATTATTATAATATATTTAATATTTATTTATGTATAATAACTTATTTATATATCATTATATATTATTTTATATTATATATATATATTTTGTATAATAAATTTTTTTAATTATAGGATAATGATAGTGTTGGGTTTGAAAAAGCATTTGAACAAGCTTCAAGAAGCATAAAAATATTTCTAAATCAACATAAGAATATATAATTATAATGTTATATTTACATACTAATTTAATAATTTTTTTATTATTTCATTTTGAAATAGTAAGAAATAATTTATTTTAGTCTATAAATAAAACATGAATAATTATAATTACATTGTTATTATTATATAAATTAAAATAGTCCTTATAACAATAATGGAAAATATAAACAATGAAACATATATAAAATGAGATATATATATATATTATTTTTACTTAACTTTACATCCTCTTACATATACTTCAACTATATTACGATCATCACCAGAATATATGAATTTTTGAAGTTGTTCTTCTAAAGTACTATTTTGAAAAGTGTTCAAAGGTCCATCACTTATATTTATATCCACAACAAGAGCATCAAATTCCTTACCTACTTCAAAATTTCCTACCTGATTATCAATCGCAAGTGCTAAAAAAATATTATATTAAATAAAAATTCAATAATATAATAAATTCTCTTAATTCTGCAAACATTACCTGCTGCACCTCCTAAAGTAGCCATATGAAATACATCTTTATAGTCAAGAGCTTTATAATTATCCTTAATTAAAGATAAATGGCTTGATACTTGTAAAGCTGATTTCATTGCATCTAAGATACTACAACTCTGTCCACCTGAGACATCTAAAAATGTTTCATTAAAATATAATCATAATAAAATTATGAAGTAAATATAATGTATGTACCAGTGCCAAGACCAATTTTGACTCCTTTACTTTTCAGTCTTTGAACATCACAAAGACCACTTTTTAAACATGTATTTGACGAAGGACAGTGTATAACTGCTGCACCACGTTCGTTTAATAATGCAATTTCATTATCCGAGAGATATATTCCATGAGCTAACACTGTCTAAAAATAGATAAAACATTATGATCTTTTTATTTTTTATTATATAAATATTTAACATACCTTATTTGTAAGAAGTCCAGCATTATCATATACAGCAGTATATGAAGAATATTCAGGATATTTTTTCTTTACTTCTTCTATTTCATTTAAATTTTCTGATATATGAGTCTAAAATATTTTATTTTATATTAAATTTTTTTATATTATATAAAAGAATTGATGAAAAATATATAAAAATATATAAAATAAAATTAAAAATATTTAAAAAATATATAATTATTTATTAATTTATTTATCCATAACATTAAACAAATAGAAATATTATTTTTTAATATTTATAATACCTGTATATGAAGATTTTTCTGTTTTGCTAAATTTCCTAATTCCTTCATTAATGTCATATCACAACTTAAAGCAAATCTTGGTGTTATAATTGGTTTTATGAGAGGACTCTATAATGATAATTATATGAATAAGACCTGATATTTATATAAATAAAAAATTAAAATACAAATTTAAATAATATTCAAATCTTACATTTAATTTAATCAAATCTTCTATAAATTTATTTATATTTTTCATAGATTCTTCAGTAGTTTCATAATAATTATCATTACGTTTTTCATTCATACTTATTTTCCCAATAAAAGCACGTTGACCTATATTAATTGCTATTTGTCCAAGTATTACAGATGCTCTTGAATATAAAGATGCAAAATAACATGCTGTTGTTGTACCTTTTATTATAGTTTGTTTCTATAATTAAAAAATAATAATTATAGAATATAGTTGATTATATGAAACGACAATCTTAATACTTTAACATTATATTACATTAAACTTACTACAACTGTATTAAATACTTGTTCAGCAAATATTTCATCTATATATTTTTTTTCTAAAGGAAAAGTATAATGTTCCAACCATTCTAAAAGTTTTTTATCATATCCAACTCCTAGATTAGGAAGTTGAACAGCATGAATATGACAATCAATGAATCCTGGTATTAAAAATTGATTGTTTTTAAGAACACTCACATTTTTATCTTTTATGTCATTTAATTTTGGATTTATTATTATATTAGTAATCTAAATTTTAACAAATTTAAATTTATTTAAAATTAACAAGATTATATAACAAATAATATAATGTAAATTATGTATTAAATATAATATTTAATTTAAAATAAATATATATAATGAAATTAAAAATTAAATATAAATAAAAACTTATTGATTAATAA